CGGTGGCCCAGGAGGTCCGGGCAGCTGCCGTCCAGGAGGACCGGGAGGCGGTTGGGGAGGTCCAGGAGGCCCAGGCGGCGGTTGGGGAGGTCCAGGAGGCGGCGGTCCAGGAGGACCAGGAGGCGGTGGCCCAGGAGGACCAGGCGGCGGTGGCCCAGGAGGACATGGCGGCGGCGGGCCCGATGGCGGCGGCGGTCCAGGGGGACATGGTCGCTGCTGATGGGCAACAAGACTTGTGGTGTACTAGCTAGTAGCACGTAGTCTATATGTGGTGATATAATTAAGTTGATGATGTGCGTAATTAGCTAATAATGACGATGTTGTGCTTGTTATTAATTTCTAGTTAGTTTTGGTAATCATGTTGGGTGAGATCCTTCCATTCCCCGGCCATCTCCAGTAGCTCAGTTCAGCTAGCTGGAGAAGATAAGGACGTTTCATGTCATACTAGTTGTATTGTATGATGCACGTAATATATAACAATAAAATGAAGAGCACCACTTTATTATGATATGATTATGTTGCCCTTCTATTCTTTATATTTGCGTGTGTGAGCCAGTGAGAGTGAGATTTCTCTTTTATTATATACTACCGATTGATATGTTTGTCTTTATTCTTCATAGTTATATATATCTTACCTACATATATACATTTAAAAAGGCTATTTGATTTAGGGTGATGTTAAACGAATTGTAAAATTAACTGAATATACCTTAATATTTAAATTAAAATATAAAGTTAATTAAGGATATCTTATTATTAACTATTAAAAATATCCATGATATACTTTAATACACCATATCACACAACATCATACTCATTCGAGAGCTAACTGCTGCATTTCTCTGTCACACGAACTTGGTGATATAAAGATATCAAGGGGGGATTTCCTGTGATCGTGATAGAGAAATTTTTATGTTACTCTTTTAAGGTTGCTAAATTCGTTAGAGAGAAGCAGGGTGTATTTGGACTGATATGATCAGATTACCAGTGCAAGTTTCAGCTGATCAAAGCTTTGCGGTTTCGGCTTAACTAGCCTTTGATTAAAGGGCCTTCTACAGCTTCTTTTTCATTTTTCTGATTTGTAATAATTTTGTGAAGGACATGGTGTAATTAATTAGCTAACTCTTGATTGGGTTTGAATGAGTCGTAGTGAAGCCAAGTTATATTGTTTTCTCTTTTGAGTCTGGCTTTTCTGGTCAGGAGGCTTTGAAGTTGGTACTGGTGTTAGGTGACTTGCCGATGGTTCTTTGATTCATCAGTCGATCAAATTTTCAGATGAAGCAAATTGTTACCAAAGCTTCTTCTATTACCCAAAAAGCAAAGAATGGTTTGGAAACTGACACAATGGTAATGGTAGAGTGTACTTATTAAAATTACATTTGTTTCACAATCAATATATTTTTTTTGGTCATTTTATATTAGAGTAAATTAGTCATTCAATAAATAGTTTGGTAGTAGAGTGTACTCAGTTAATTTTAGGGTTCGTTTAACAGTACCCTTGATTCATTGGCGCGTTTAGATTACAAATTTTGAGGAAATTAAGGTCAAATGTTATAGCAAAGAAGATATATATATATATTTGAGGTGAAGATGAAGAGTGGCATGAAGAACCAGTTTGTTGTGAATCAAGATTCAAATAGTTGCCATCAGAACTTTTATGTGATACTTTTCAAATTATGATCACCTAAAAGCCGTTGTCCATATGTAGAATGAAGAGCCATTGGAGAGAGGACTTGCGGAGGACATTGAGAATGGTGTTGTAAGCATTGATTGGTCTCGGAAGGATATAGGCAATGTCTTCCAGACTAGATATGAGTGGGATGTTCTAGCTAGCACGGTCCATATGGGCACTTGGCCCTGATAAGCAGGTAATTCACCCAAGGACAGGCTTTTTGCCTATCAGTCGTCTTTGATCACTGGGCTATAGTTCCGCGGGATCCTCTTGACAAGAGTATCGTTCTGCGACCCCTGGAACCTGCCCCATATTCAACACCTATATATAGCCCATGAGTTCATGGTGAAAACCAGACGCAGGAAGGTAAAAGCATTCCGTCATCTGTCCCTCTCTCTCTTGGAATCTTTCTGGCATTGTTTGAGGAATGCTAAATTTTTCCCATAATATGCACTGTTGCTATTGGAAATTCACGAAATGCGGAAGAAAGCCATATCTAGGCATAAATTTGCTCATCTTCTTCATTTTGTTGAAAATGGCAGGGAATGAGTGAGGATGTGAGCATCAACAAATTTTTCGAGGAGGCCATGATGGTGGAACTGGCTCAGCAAGCTATAACTGTGACTGTTGTATCCATTGTTTTTTGGTATCCTCCTAATTCCATCTGCTGCTGCTTGCTAATTGTTTTTTCACTTTAGAATTCAACTGAGAATGCCACTGCCACGTTGACATCACACACAGACGGATGCTCTTGCTGCTGTAAATGCCAATGAGATCCATTTCTGCGTTACGCCGCACCTTCCAAAAGTATAATTAAACCAAATATTGTCCTCAATGGGCAATTATTTTCAGATACGACAAACGACCATATGGCCAATTCGCAAATATTCCAAAATACATAATGTCGTTTCTGCCCCGCTAGATTTTATAACAATTTTACAACCATCACGCGTACGTTATTTAACTTACAACTTTATTTACTTTTTACGTTTGCACGTGTGGTTCACACGTGTTTGAAAGTCAAAGCACAACCACTCCCCTTCCCCTCTCTTTCCGTCTCTCCAAAATTCTTCCCCCCCTCCCTCTGAAACTCTCCAGTCTCTCAGCATCTCAACAGCGATGGTGGAGACGAGAAAATTAAAGAGCTTATCAGAGCTCTGGTGGAAGACTTAGATATTGGATCTCACGAAGCCAATACTGTAGCTTCGTCGTCACCTTCTTCCCCTCTGCTTACGACCCTCCGCCTCAATCAGAGATTGATAGGAAAAGATCAGGTAAAACATTAGGGTTTTTTACATTTTTCCTTCTGTTTTTTTCAGTCGGTGAATTCTCTGTGCAACTAAAAACTCCAACATTTTGGATCCACCATCTTTCTCTGTAATTATAGTTACGGTATATCTGAGCATTCTGTGTGGCTTTTTGTGTGTAGTACTAATTGCAAAATATTGAGTTCAACAGACAATGCAATCCAAAACCTCAAGCCTAGCTCCAGCTCTCAACTATTTCCCAACCCTCAAACCCCCACACAAAACTCTAGCTTTCCACCGATTTTCAGTCCTCATCATCACCTTCCTTGCCTATGCGTCGTTTCATGCCTCTAGAAAGCCCCCAAGCATTGTCAAGAGCGTGCTTGGACCCACAATTCAGTCCAATTCCAGCTCAGCCGATACAGGGTGGGATCCCTTTAATGGTCCCCATGGTGCGCACAGGCTAGGAGAGCTTGATCTTGCATTTCTTTCTGCGTATTCGATTGGAATGTACTTTGCAGGGCATGTCGGGGATCGGATTGATTTGAGGTTGTTTCTCGTGTTTGGGATGATGTGTAGTGGCATTTTAACAATATTCTTTGGGTTAGGATATTGGTTTGGTGTTCATTTGTTGGGGTACTTTATGGCTGTTCAAGTACTTTGTGGGTTAGTTCAGTCAATTGGGTGGCCTTGTGTGGTAGCAGTAGTGGGAAACTGGTTTGAGAAAGAAAAGAGGGGGTTGATCATGGGGGTCTGGAGTTCACATACCTCAGTTGGAAACATTATTGGTTCAGTTGTGGCGTCTGGGGTTTTGGAATTTGGATGGGGTTGGTCCTTTGTGGTGCCTGGGGTTTTGGTCATTTTGATCGGCATTTTAGTGTTTTTGTTTCTTCCCGTGAGTCCAGAACACTTGGGGTTTGAGTCTTTGGTAAAGGAGATTCAGATGAATGTGGAAGTTAATGGCATAGAGAATTTGGAGGGAAAAGTGGAATCAGAGGAAGCAGGTCTTCTTGGAACAGAGAATGCAGATGTCGATACAGGTGCAGATTCTTTGGCTGCAATTGGCTTTTTAGAGGCATGGAGGTTACCGGGCGTGGCACCATTTGCTTTCTGCCTATTCTTTTCAAAGCTGGTGTCTTACACTTTCTTGTACTGGTTGCCCTTTTACATAAGGCACACAGGTACTTCCTCCAGTTAGATTTTTATATATGACTTTGAAATTGAATTGTTGGGATCATCTTATGATATCCCATTATGGTTGAACTGCTTCTTTGGATTTCATGTTTGAGTTTTTTTTTTTCAAATACACCATCATGGATTGTCATGAAAATGGCCGTCCTCATCGCAATTCACAAACAATCCAGAGCATTTAAAATTAGACACGTATTGCAGTTCTATACTCTTAACAGTAACAGCGCCTATGTTTGTATGTGTATGTCTTTAAAATCCAAAATTACCCTAGGAGGATTATCTTCTCCTATTCATCATAAATTTTGTTTCGCCTTGCAGCTGTTGCTGGTGTGCATTTGTCACACAAAACTGCTGGGAATCTTTCAGCCATATTTGATATTGGAGGAGTCTTCGGTGGAATTTTAGCTGGATTGATATCTGATATGATTGAAGCTCGAGCTGTAACATCAATTGTATTTTTGTTGCTTTCGGTTCCAGCCCTTGTTTTCTACCGGGTTTATGGAAGCCTATCTATGGTTGCCAACATTCTTTTGATGTTTCTTTCTGGATTGCTGGTGAATGGCCCATATTCACTAATTACCACAGCCGTTGCTGCTGATCTTGGTACCCAGACAGTGATCAGAGGAAATTCCCGTGCATTAGCTACTGTAACTGCAATTATAGATGGTACAGGTTCTGTTGGGGCGGCTCTTGGCCCACTTTTAGCTGGGTATATTTCTACCACAGGGTGGAACAATGTATTTCTTATGCTAATTTTTGCTATTTTCTGTGCAACTTTGTTTTTGATTCGCATTGCGAGAACGGAGATCAAAGGAAATTTGAATGAGGGAAAATGGTCTTTGTATAGCATAGGCACACAATGATTGAGATTTTCTCAAGGCATATCTTTTTTTTTTTTTTTTTTTGTCTTTCTTGTCATACCAGAAGAGTAGATTTCATTCAGAGAGAGGGGCTATTGGTGGGGTCATTTGTGTATGTTTGTATCTCATTGTTTTGTAGCTCATTCATTGTTCCCAGTTTGTTGGGTTTCTTACCTACGTACAGATACAGCTAATTAATAATAAAAATTCTTCGACGGTTTGGATCCATGTTTCTCGTCTCTTGCCTTCTTCCATCTCGAGTCCCAAATTCTTTTTGCTCATTGTATTGAATCAAATTGGTCTCATATTAGCGACAATTAATCAAGAAGCGTGTAATTAGCTGTTCCAGTATGTGAAATTCAAGTTGCACGCAGCAGAGGCAGCCCATGAAGAAACAAACGTATGATGTTTGGAGCAGTCAAATAAAAAGCATTTTATGCGTCGCTGGCTTTTCTGGTTGCATAATACATTCAAAAACCAGTAGGATGATCAGAAAACTCCACAAAGGTCAACAATTCCGATCATCAAGGGCAAAGGAACTCACGCACAGTTTTATAACGAAGTGAACCTTAAACCTTGGACTTTGTATAACAATTATAAGTATTACAAGACATGGAAGGAGTTCTGACAAATAAATGTACACTACACATCTGCATATACCTTGAAAAACAAAGGTACAATAACAGAACAGCCTCGCCACAAAATCAGACCTGCCTGGCTACCTCAGTTATACAACACAAAATAAGATTTTAACTCCATTCTCTGCCAATAGGGCACAAGTGGTTATTCCAAAGCCTGGTGATACGAATGTCTTCTTTATCCTTCCATCTTCTCTGGAACAGATTGGAGCACCGGATATAGAACAAAGCAAAGTGGCAGTCCCTTTCTGGATGAATATATATACACATGCTGAACTCCCATCGATTTCTAAGTATTATTGCTACCGGTTCGAACCTTTGCCCAACAAGGGAACATAAACTAATAAACAAGTAATTCTATCCTTCTAAGAAGAATTTGATATTCTGAAGTCCTTCAGCAGAAATGCTTCGTCTGACTCTAGACCTCTCTACCACCACATGTGGAGGAGGCTCCAAGTGGAAACTCACCATAACTAGTGTCAAATTATCGCTTGCTCCACGCTTTATTGCCTCCTCTACTATTTCCTTGCAGCACAACTTCACATCATTGTGCTCTTGGAGTCTCCTTCGAGCAAAATCAACAGCATTTTGGCTGGTGAACATCTCCCATATTCCATCACTACCAATGATCAAAAACTCATCATCCTTGGTCAGTGTCATTAATTTAAGTTCTGGTTCAGCACTTAAGGGTCCTCCCCTTTCACCCCCACCCTTCATTCCTTCAAGATGCCAATCACCTAATGCACGGGTGACACCTAACTCACCATTTAGAAAACCATCATCAATATATCCACCCAAGGATTCAATCCGCATTCTTTCTTTTTTGCAGCAGGGCCTATGATCTTTTGACATTTCTACAGCCGCTCCACGTCGTGACAATACAGCCCGGCAATCTCCAGCATTTGCCACAAGCAAAGACCTGTCCAAAAGGATAAATTATTAGCTGAAGCAGACTAGTTGTCACACAAAAGGTCTGATAAAAACAAACTAAGCAGTCTCAAGAACGGGGCATGAGAATAGCCAAAAGTGCATAGATGTAAGATAATTAAATCAAATGGGGAGATATAGGATGTGGTCATTCTGAGCCATTATGATCAATTCAGTCTTCAATCTCACTAATCCCGAGTTGCGACCAAGATTTGGTCACACAACATCAGTTTTCTTTACTATTTTTATTTCTTGTTTTGCTCATGCAACAGACACAATTCATTCTTCAGCATGCCACCGCATGAATTAGCTGATTAGATTTTCTCTTATTCTTTAATCTGATGGCCAAGACTTGCAGTAATGATTATTTAAGACATTACTGTTGTAAGTCAACACCTTTATTACAGATGAGAGTCAACCTACACCGGATGAAAGAGTCCCCTTACCTCCCAAATATCATTGCAGTGAGTGCAGTTGTTCCAGAAGCACGGGAAGACTCAAGGGAGCACGTTTTTGCAAATGCAGCATCTGTCTCCATAAATGACCTTGTTATCACCTTTTCAAGTTCTAATGGAAAGTCAGCATCCTCAACAACTACTCTTGGCAAATTGTCACGAACAAATTGTGCTGCATCCTTTCCTCCATGGCCATCAAATACCTGTTTTTTTTTTTTTTAAATTGCCATTTACATCATCAAAATCTGATAAAATAAGGAGTCTGAATTGTTATGCGTGAGCTTTCATTAAACTGTTGCAAGTACCCTTAAAGTTTCAAAATTTTGATTTAACTATTTAGAAATTGTCCAAAAAGACTTTCTTCATATTATCGTTCTCATTGTAACCAGGGTTTACAATGAAAACCTTGAGAAGTGTTGGGGATGCTTTGAATTGTTATACAACGGAAGAAGGTGAGAAAACTTACACCATAGAAGGAGATAGCTCCCTCACTGAGTACATTATAATCAAACATTTTAGCTAAGTCACCAATGCATATATGAGTATCCTGCATATCGGTTCGACCCCCAATATCAGACCAC